TGCGCTCTAGGGTTGACTATGTCTTGTCTCCTAAGAACAATGAGAAGTTAGGGATCCTGTACCCCCGAGGGTATAGGTTATCCCTGTCTATCTACTCTAGATAAGGTTTTGAGAAAGTAGGGTGACCGATTGGCCTCAGCCCTGGTTCGTATATATCTTGAATAGTGTCCCTTAGAGCCTTCATGTTCACCAGTTGGTTCTAAGGCTTGATTGCACATTCCGGGATCACTACCGTGCCCCCCGAACTAGTCGTGCTAGGATCTTGTAGATAATATGATAGATTAATTAAAGGATGAGTGTGTGTAAATACTTGGTGGTTAGGGATGTCTCTTACAAGTATGCGGCTCTGACAGCCAGCAGCTATATTGACTCTAGCTTGCTGCCCCCCGAGCAGCCCTATATTTGAGCCTGCTTCCAGATGGGTGCCTCTTAATGATGCGGCTATATTCTTCATGCCTTCATGCAGAGCCTGTATCAGGATCTGCTGTTATTCTTTCTCCCTGCATTCTGAAGTTTCTAGGGATATTGCAAAGAACCTTTGGTTCTCTTCTAGTTGCTTATCCATCCGGTCTTGAATTCCCTGCAATACTTTTACCACAGTTCTGTTGGATATGATTAGTGGGTTAGGTTAGCCACTTCCTAACTTTGAGCTAGGGCTCATGCTGCTACTACTTGTTGTCACTAGCACTATGTACTTACGATGTTCAGTTGCTCCAGCATTAGGCGATAAGTGTTTTAATCCTGTGTGCGCAGAGATCCCTTCTGGTTCATGAGAACCAGAACCTATTTTATTAGTCCTTTTTTCTTTTTGTGTCCTTGCCATCTTTATTACACAGGTCCCACCGGGCGTGCCATAAATTGTTCATGGTTGAACAACAAATACCAGGCATGCTAGAGACGCTGAGTCTTAATAGATAATGAAAGGGTCTCGAGTTTCCTTACCATAGTTTGGTCGAATATAAAAAAATAGAAGGCTTTGGTAAAACAAGTGTGTAATTTGATTGAAGTGTAAAAATCACAAACTAAAACTAAGAAATTTAAAAGGGAAAATGAATGTAAAATATGTGAGTCTTGATTAAGTATTGACTAGATTTCTCTATTTTTCTTCTTTCTATTTATAGTGTCGGATATCAGAAGCTTCTCTTTTGAGACTGAGCATGTTTCTACCGAAGAATCAAGAATGCCATGAAACTTATGGCATGATCTCTCTATTTTGATAACCAGCCCGTTTCACTGAACTACTCGGGCATAGGTTTCGGCATTACTTAGGATCGTGTTCTTGTGCCAACGGTTTGATATTTGAAGCTGATAGAATTTCAGCATGTTTATTTGTTGTGGATTTTATTGAGCTTTGGGGACATCCTCTTTTGTTTATATTGGGCCTGATGCTTCAACTACTTAGACCAACTAGCTTTGTAACCTATTTAAGTGACATCTCATATTTAGCCCAAACAAAATACTAGAAAAAGTATGGCTTGTCCTACAAGAGGCTGTTATCATGAGTCAGAGACCATATTTACTAAGAGGTAACTTCAATGAAACAACCAGTTGTGAAGAACAGAAAGGGGGAGGAAGAATTGATAATGCTAGATGAGAAGTGTTTAGTCATTGTATCAAGGATTGTAATATGATTGATTTTCAACCCAGTAGGCCTTTCTTCACATGTAGGGGCCTAAGTAGATGAATTTAGATAGGGTCTATAAATAACTTGACAAATTTCTCTATTATGTCACATGGCAAAATACCTTTAATGAAGCTCATGCTCGCGTTCTATGATGTATTGAATTGGACCATCACCATATCATGACGAGCACACAGTCTGTTTCATTTTGAAGCTGCTTGGGTTACTCATTATGGTTTTGAAGATTTTTTAGTCTCTAATTGGAATCGAGGCAAATATTTTAACCATGATCCCGAAGTTGGTGCAGTGGAATATGAAGTTGTTCGGTAATACTAATTGATGGAAGGATAGGCTTTTTAGAAGATTAGGAAGGATTCAAAAATACTTTAGAGTCCTTATTTAATCCTTTTCTTGAAGACTTGGAGGTGCAACTGGCTAAGGATCTCAAAGATACTTTGGCTTAGGAAGAGAAATCTAGAGCAAAGTGGATTACTCAAGGTGACCTAATAAACCCATTGTTTACATAATTTTGGGGACTTTTAGACCTAACTACATCAATTAAGTGTGATAAATTAAAGGAAAAATGATTCATATTGGCTCACTAAGTTATTGTTTGTCAAAATGAAGGAAAGGAAGGAAAAGGATGCAAAATGAGACTAAAATGAGAGAATTTAGCATTAGGCCTAATAACTTTCATCTATGGATAGATGAATTATGAAGAAACTCAACCATGGCAGGATGAACAAGAGTGCAGAACTAGTTCTTGCCTCAATTACGTCTGAGGGCTAATGGAACATGTGCAAGTTTGACCAACCTCACAGATGAAAAGGGAAGATTCCCCCCTTCATGTTTTTACTGCGCACGAATAGGCTCAATAGAGCCATAACCACACATGGATGGAAGCAATTTGGGCACTATCTTAGCTCTTTTGTCACGTGCGGATGGAGATATACTATGCACAACCACATGTTGATAGAAGTGAAGCACACATGGATGGCTTTGATTCAAGTGAAATAAACATGAACCATCAGATTCAACCTAAGATAAACATAAAGAATTAAGGTTAGGGCTCTTAGCATGTGAAAAATATATAAGTAGGCCTTAGAAACACTTGAAGGGGGAATTCATTCTCTAAGGGGCAACCCAAAAGGCTATGTACAGGGTTTAAGAGCAATTTGATTGATCTAGGAGTGGTTTTTCTATTCTCATCTTTTGTTCTTTACTTAATTGTTTGATGGATTTAGGGATTGTTATGGCTGATTATATGTCTAGTTTCTAATTCCCCAATCAGAGTAGGGTGTAGCTTGGTTGGGATTTTTTTTACTCTTTTCTCACTTTACCGCTTATTCCTATTGGTTTGGATTTAGTGTTTTATGACTCATTAAGAGTATTTTATCAATTTCAATTATTTTTCCTTGTTTTCATCTGTAAGTTTGCATCTGATCAATATGTTCTCTATCCGTGGGTTTCCTTGACATATTGGAAGAAGAGCTAGCCTATACTTAGGAAAATAATTATAAATAACGAGATTAGTAATAATCTAGGCATTTGTGGCAGCTATAATTGTAACTAATTTAACTAAAGGGTTAAAATTAGTGGAAGCTAATTTAACCTTAATTAAATACAATTTAATTTGCTAGAAGGTAATAATTAAGTAACTTTCATAATGATTGTCACCTTAATTGAACAGGAACAGTTTAAGTACGTGAGAGCAAGATATCCCAATAGGTGAATCCAATTCCTAGTACTCATTATTATTATTGAATGAATCAACACTTAATTCGTTCTGTTGTTTTATTTTAATTATTTCAATTTATTATTATATTTTCTTAATCAATTATTAATTTTTTTGCATTCAAATAACAAAGGTCATGATTCTTCCTTGGGTTTGAACTAGAATACTCTAGATTTATTACTATATAGATCCCATACACTTGCAGGAGCCGATCAAGTTTTTGTCACCATTGTTGGGGGAAATAAATAACTTTATTTTTACTTTTAGTTACATCGTTCTTTGTTGGTATTTCTTGCTTTTATTTGTCAACTTTTCTCTACGTACTCGATTTTCTAAAGACTTCTCTAAAACTGAATTGACTCTTGCTATTTAGTGAATTTGACAATGATTTGTGAATAACCTCCTGGAAGAAGGGTTTGTATACATGTATCTTTGTATGTGAAGATCAGTATAGGATTAGGTGTGTGCCTCTCTTGAGAATGACTTTTAATCATAGTAGCAAAATTGATTTATTTGTCAAAGATACAATGTATGTGATTATATACAATATAATGTATCTATTTTCTTTTTCTTTTTCATAAGTTGAGTGTTAGTGGATGCCAAAGATTTATGAGTAGTTATGGAACAACATAATTAACAAGATTTACTTACAAAAAATATAATTCAAAGGTTTGCCAAAAATATATGTAAATCTTTCATTAAGATCCATGTATTTAAGAGAGGAAAACATTGTTAAAACAATATTTTAGAGGTAAAGTGATGAAGTGAGAGAAATTAAAGTTGTTAAATAACAAAAAAATTATAAAAATAATTAATGGAGTTATAGGAAAATAGTAAGAGAAAGGGAAAATTTTAGAGAGGAGAAATAGAGTACGCTGGATTTTTCTAATTCACTTTCATTCATGTGTAAAAGATTTTGAAATTGTCCTCCAATCATAAAAGACTAACACATGGATAACATTGTATCTATACTAACATAACGATGTACATACGTTTACGAAAATCAAGGATTCATTGACGAATTTGGTATACACAAATAATTAAATTTTAGTTAGAGTTTTGGTTTTTCAATGTATATAAATTAGTTATTTTTATTAAGTTTGTATATTGAACGCTTTAGATGTAAAAGTATGGAGTGAAACAAGAATAATAGGAGAGAAATAGAAATGAAAAATATTCTTCTTGTCAACATATATTTCAGAAAATGAAAGAGCATGCAAATAATACAATTCTAATATGCAAGATTTAAATTTTTTTCCCTTTGTAAAGCCATTCATTCTTTTTTTTTTTTGAACTTTTGGTTAAGATCTTCATTATATGCCATTCCATAACAATTCATAATTCCTTATACATTGGTATTAGCAAACACTTAACATAAGGAAAGGGGCAAATAGATAACATTGTATATTTGAAAATTTAAACTAGATGCTACTCTATAATTAATAATCATTATCAAAAGACCTAAACTTGAACGTACTCTCTCTCTCCCTCTCTCACACACACACCCCCACACACAAACACGCGCGCACTCGCGCATACACAGGCACACATTTCTTCTACCATTTTATTTACAAGTTCTTGATAAGATTCTCTAGAAAAAAAAGATAGTATTAAATCTATTGTATGTGTGGTTGAGGGCAGAGTCCCCTTTATTTATCTCCTTTTGTAAGAGAGCTTGTTGCTTGGCTTGCATTTGGTCGGTGGATCTTGGTTGCTCTCTCCCCTATGTTCTCCGCGTGAGTGGGTTTGAAGCAAGCGCGTGTATTTTTGGGTCTCTGCGTGTCAGGATAGTTATTGATCATCTCTTTGACTTGCAATCTAATGGTGAATCACTCAGATCTGAATTTCCTAAGTTGCGATGGAGGTAAGTTTTGCTGAAACTCATCAAATATCACAATTTTATCTAGATCTGGTATGAAACTCATCAAATATCGTCGTGCAGATTTGATTCTCCAAGCCTGTGATTCGATCTCTATGGTGAGGATGGTTGGGATCTAGAAGCTCCCTGAATGAAATTTTGGTGGTGTCCTTTTGCGCTTTGCGTTAATTCATTTTGGGTTATGATTGGTTTTCGGCATTATGTTTTTCTAATTGGCATACAAGGATGGATCTGGTAGCTACCATTTGGGGCCAAGGAAAAGCAAGAAAATTTTTCTCAAAATGAGGAGCTGAAATTAATTTCAACAATTTTTACCAAAAAAAATTCTGTTAAAGTTGTATTGTTGGGTTTTCGCTTAATGATTTTCTAATTTGGCTAGGAAGTGTTTCTATTTGTTTGTGCATGAATGTTTGTGTTTGTTTAGTATTTACTCTTCAATTTAGGTTGGCTTGATTTAAAGAGACATCAAGTGACTGTGGGTATTTGTTTTCTCTCATTTGACAAAGCATACGATGATGATGAATGTAAAGAGGATAAAAGTTTCATTCAATGTCATGGCACGTTGATCTATGCCTATCAAGTCAGCGACATACCAAAGGTACGTTAATGTGTATTTTAATTCTAAATTCACACACACACACACACACACACACCACACACACATTCATATGGTTAAACTTTTATAACATTTCTTGATTCTTATATGCAAACAATTCTTGTTGATACAATATTTCTTTGAAATATTATCATGTAAGTTCATTAGATAATTCATCTCTATGTTACGCACATGCAACAAATTAAGATCATTTGATATTGTTTTTTGTTCATATTAATCTAATTATTAGTCTTTAACAAAATCAGTTTATAAAATCTGATAAATTTCCCTTTTGTTGAAGATCAAAGTGAGAAGGGACTGAGATAAGCAAAAGAGGTTCAAGCAAACCATCCAATTAATTCCTTGTTTTGTAAAGCTTATGCTATTATCCCATGTGTCTCAGTGATATTAACCTGTAAGATCATTTAGCTCTAAGCATTGGCATTGTTTTTAAGATTTTTTTTTCAAGTTCAAGAAATAAAAACACTTACAATAAACATATATTTTATGTAGCTAAACAAAGGGTCTTCCATACATAACTATTTTCACATCAACCACTATGACTATTTCATAATCTTTCTAAATTATTTGAACTCTATCCTTTGAATTAGCTCATCATTTGTTGATTGATTATGAGATATAAAATTTTGTTTGTAAGCTATGAAATAATATCAAATAATGTTGACATTGCAACTGTGATTGATTATAAACAATGGTCAACACTATTGTTTTGGCATAAATATGTTAAATTGAATAAAATAGTGGCAATTGTAATTTATTGAATTTAACATTTCTCCATGATCATTAATTGGATTAATTGTTTCTTGCATCTTGTAAAAGCTCATATTTTATGTGCTTTGACTATTAAACTGAAGGTACTATATGTGACTTTATTTTTTTATTATTAATTGTTACTGTACAATTCTCTCACTTGCTTAAATTTAAGTTCAAATTTTTCGTACTACTATCTAGTGTTCAGGATTCTAGATCCCATATAGCTTAAACAATGAGTGAAAATGTGGTATTTCCTAATAATTTTCGATCAATTGATATTGATATTAATATTAACAATGAGATCAGAATTCTTTTATTTATAAATATTTCTGTTGTTAAATATAAATATATTGCATATTTATTATACATTCGTTCTTTTAACTTTCAAAATATGTTTATCTATTATATATGGTTGAACTCGTAAAACATAGATTGAATCAAAATATGAAATGACTTGAGCAATTGTCACTTGTGATAATATTTCATTTCACATGAATAGTGAATAATTTCCCAAATCAAAAAAGCCCCAACACAAGTTGAAGTGACAAAGAACGAGGATATGCACCAGTTTCTTAAGTTAATTAATTTATCATTCATTAGATTCTTCAACTGATATAAAACCATATCTCATAAAAGTTTTTGAGATAACCTGTTAAAAGGAACATTATTGGTTTTAGAAATCTCTTATTTTCATTTGAAATTGCTGAAAATATCACCAAGAGGATAAACTTGGACAAGGTACCTTTTATACATAACAATTATATTGATTAAAATATTTAAATTACATATCTATATATTTATATTTGTTAAAATTTCTTATACTAAATATTAAGATATCACTAGCAGAGATGAAAGTTTTGAGATGAATTTGATGACTTTTTGCAGCCACCCCATTTGGATTCAGTGACCAATCCATCTGAGCGCGTGTTATCAGTCAAGTACATGACACTTGTCAGGAAACACAATTTGAAGGCTGAATTGACTTATAAAGGCCCAATAAAGATAGAACTTAAAATAAGTTTTATCCTTAGCTGGCCATGGTCATCCGTGTTTGATATAAATTCTTCTAGTTATGATCTATTTCATATTATACATATGGTCATTTTTTGTGAACTACATTTCTTGGTCTCCATCTCATCAACACCTAATGTTATTTAAACCTGATGAATGGATCGAGGAGTACAAATTGGAATATTTTGATTTTCGTGACAATATATGCTGACATCATGAAGCCTAATAAAGTTTATGTTGGAGTTTTAGATGGAGGCAATCTACATGTTGTAAAGATCACAAGTTTAACGCAAGAACTCATTCTAAAAAACTAGCTAGTTGAGTAGGAGAATTCCTCATACTTATAAATCCCTCTTCACTTGTGAGCATTGGCGAAGCCACATTCATGCGAGGGATCAAATGCACCTTCTCACTTGAAAAAAATTATATATGTAGCATGGAAAATTTACAAGATTTCACCCTTATTTTTTGTATTTTGAACCCTCTAGACTCAATAAAAAATATTTGAATCCAAATTTAAACTTTGTATTGACCTTCCTAACATATTTTTGACCAACAAAATATCAATATATTTTTCCCAATATAATTTTTTAATTATTAATTTTAAAATTATATTGCTTTGCAACTCCTAACTCAAAGTCCTAACTCTGCCACTGTGAGGCTCTTCAATGTGAGATTCATGAAAATGAAACCCCATTCAAGAGAACCTTGTGGGTAACCCTTTCCATGACACCAACCTCTTAATAAAAGCACCAATGTTATGAGCATATGTCTAAAGAGAAAAATCAATGTCAAAAGACTAGCCCATTAGGTAAAAAAGCCTCTCACACTTATAAATTCCACTCCACTTGTGAGGATCCACAATGTGGGACTCAATACAGATGCTTTATTGAATATTCATTATCACGCATTAATCTTTGCTCACCAACATCAACCACATGCCATATATCTATGGTTATGTGACATCATATATTCATTTTCACACACACACACACATAAATTTTGTAATATATTCAAACGGATGAAATGGCCTTTTCATTAGAGTTTACATATAAATTCATGCATAGGGTTAAGTAATATAGGCTTATATTGTTGAGTACGTTTTGTTTCTTTGGACATTTTCTACTGGTTAAAATGTCTATTATTGTCATATGTTCGATGAGGTGGAAGGTGCAAATGAATTCAAGAGCGTTAACGTAATTCAAATCCTTTTAATTTGAATTCTCATAATTGTTGAGATCAACAGGTAAAACCATAGTGTGATTCATACCCAAGTACACTATCATTAAAAGTTGTTTTGCCACAATAGTTTAATAGCACAACAACTCCTCAGAATTAAATAGACTTTTCCTACATAGAATAACAAAAATTCACATAATAAGTTCAGACAAAAACATAGATGAAGTAGTATGATATAAGAGGAAAGAAAGCCCAAAAGTGCATTAGCTGATTTAGAACTTATGGCAAGTATTGCCTTTTATAGGCAGATATCTCAAATTGTGCAATAAAACACATTAAATATAATTACAAACAGTTTCATATAATAATAGGGTTTAATATATAGGTTACTAATAATTTCTTTTGAAATACTCATAAATATTTTATAATATCCAACAATCCTTCACATATTTCAAAAGCAAAGAAAAATTTATGAAAAAAGTATTTTATAGAAATAATTTTGTAACTCCATAAAATAGTTTTCAAAATTTTAAAAAAATAAAATTGTCTAGCACCACATGTAGCTCACACCTAGTCATATGTGTGAGCCCACTTTTCCTCTACGCTTATTTACTCCTCTAAGTTCACACCTTAGTATGCATGCACTAAGGTCTCACTACAAAAAAAATGCCTTTTGGTGGCTACTTTTATTGCCAACTAAAAGTGGACATTAGTAGCTACAAATCAATGTCACCATCAAAATAGTTGCCACCAAAAGTGGGCCTTTTCAAAAGTATGTTTATAAAAAATAATTTAAAAATTAAAAATATTTTGTATGATTATTTTTGGTGACAAAATTTGTCTCCACTAAAATTATTTTTAAAAAATTAAATATAATTTAAATTATATGAAATAATTTTTAAATTTATCATTTAAATTATTAAAAAAATTCCTTATGAATTATTTTAAAATTTAAAATTAAATAAAATAATTCCAAAAATATTTATGAAATTAAATTTCTTATTTTATATACAGAATTAGAAATAAATGATATATAGGATCATGAAACAAAAAGAATAATAGTGAAAATATGTTAAGCTTAATTATTAAATAACTTTTTAAATTTTTATTATTCATAATCTTTTTTAGACATATATAACTCATATTTTTTAATGATGTTATTAAACTATTATTTTAATATGATAAATTAAAATCTTGATTAGTTATTACTTTCTATTACAATCAAGTTAAGTTATATGTAAATTATTTTTTATATATAAATACATATAAATGGCACTGGGATATTAAAGTTGTATGGATGGTTCAAAATGTAAATGATATTATAGACTACTTAACATATTACACACTTGAAGTTTAACTTGATATACACATGGTATCTACTTCTTCTACTAAGCTCTAATGACTTTTAGACAAGGATTTTAGGTTTCCATTGATATAAAAAAGAAGTTACTAATAAGATTTTTATAACTAATTATTACTAAGAAGAATATGAAAAATTATTCAAATTCACCTTGATATGAGGTAGATAACAATTAGAAGTTAGCTAAATTGATCATATATAAGATTCCTATGATTATCTTGTATTATAAAGTTATTAGTATTCATTAAAAATTCAAAACGACTATTAACAAAATTTATGTTGTTGAAATTAATTTATTACTACAGTTATTTTTTAAGATATTGAACAATTATAGATAAAATATATTTTAAATAAAAGAGCGGGAACATTTAACCATTTTGAGAGAAGAAAAAGATTTAATCATTTAATTTATTAATTTTTGAAAAAAATATGGAGAAGAAAAAAGTAAAAGATATTTAGCATAAATTAATATAATACATATTTATAAATAAATTATATACGTAATAATTTTCATTTTAAAAATAAAAATAAAATTTAAAAATTGGTTACAATGTCTATAAGAAAATTATTCAATATTTAAAATATGTTTATTTAAGTTCATTTTCTTAAAAAATAATATTTACTTGTAAAAAATAATATTTTATGAAAATATAATATAAAATTCATTTAAATTATTTTTTCATATTAATAATTGAAAATAAAATAAAATAAAATATACGTATATATTTTTAATAATATATTATTTGATATATGTATATGTAGTTAAATAATATATATTTAATTTTGCATATAATAATTATATGTGCATTTCAATTTAACTAGCAAAGAAGGGAGACTTAAGGCTTGGAGATGGGAGATCAAGGGTTTAAATCTTGGCTTTGGCATATTTTGTAACAGATATGTAACATGGCATATAAAGTGGCTTGAGGAGGCATACACGTGGTGAGTGACATGGCATGAGATGGCAGGTGACATGGCATCATATGCCGCACATGTGGTAAAATGAAGTAGCATAAAATAAATTATTATTTAAAAAAAGAGTTGCCCTAAAAGTTTTTAAATTATTATTTTGAAAAAAAAAAAGAGTTTTGGTGGTGACAAAAAAAGTTTACTTTTAGCAGTGAGAAATGTTGTTGCTAAAAGTATACTCTTGGTGGCGACAATGTTTGTCACCACCAAAAACTATTTGTGATGAAAATTATAACGACAACCCTTTAGCAACAAAAAGTTACTACTAAAAACCTTTAGCGATGACTTTTAGTCGCTGCTAAAAGTCTTTTCTTTGTAGTGCCTCCATTCATTTAAGCAACATTAGGACTTTTATTTTGACACAACCACAATAATTTCCCATGTGTCAAAAAGAGCACTATCATCTGAATTATTTATAAAAAATATAACCATTTTGAATTTAGTGAAACCATGTTTCTATAAACCAACAAAACTTAGGTGTATATTAGAGGTCTTATTAGTTGGATTATATCCTTACAATTTCCACTATTGATGATGTTTTTGCACATTATCAGCTATGCGCATATGGTTTTCACAAATGTTCTAAAGATTTTGTCATGATCTCATAAGAGCGGCCCTATTACACATTCATATAGGTAATTTCATCAAATGTATGTGTAATTAATACACCATCCCTAAGGACTGTGAAAATTATTAAGAGCTTTTGCTCAACCTCCAATCAATGCATTCTAACACTTTATCAAGACATAAGAAAGGACAAAAAATTTAGCATAAGAAGAATTAACAAATGACTTATTTTTACCCATTGAACCCTTCTTCATGAGATCTCCAATCACGAAAGTTAGGTTGCCATCACCGTTAATTTTAAATAGACTTAAGTTTCATTTCCCTCGGCATTTCAATTATTAAATCCTTCACTAGGGGTTTTGTTAACAGATCCGCCACATTTGCATATGATCTGACATAATCGATTGAGATAACTCTCTCTTTTAGCATGCTTAATCATACCTCAAATGTTTACCTACACTATTATTCTCTTTACAATGGCTATTGGCTTTTTGCAATCACAGCTCATCGACATATCATATGTCAGTTTTATCTTCAATATAATATTCACTAAGAGGTTTTTCAATTATTCAACCTCACTATTAGCTGACTAAAGAATAATAAACTCTAATTCTTAAAATATTTTATTTGACTACTAATGAATTTTTCCTCATATGAATATCATATTCAGTTAACTTCATTGTATCATATTAATACAATGGAAATCCATTATTCATGATACCAATATTTGTGGTATCCATCTATTACTAATTTATTTGATGCCTTTATGAGACTACTTTTGTACTCAATCTTCACGCATCATATTTCATGGGATTAACATTTATTGATATAACTCAAAAATTTGTGTATGCACATATTAAGCGACAAAATTATCTCATTTGTTTTAAATGACATATTATCATTAAAAAAAAGTCATCGACGCTAAGTGTCAGTTTCACACTAAAATAACTGCCGAGAAGATCTCGAGCAACTGCCTCCAATACAATTTCAAATTAATGAATTTGGATTCCACTATAATCCTATCATTATATTTTGATTTCATCAATACTGAGAGTGGATAATTACTAGTAGATTTTCTCACTTGAATTTATAACTCAATTAATATCCATGTATTTTAAACAGCAAGAATCTACTATTCACAAT